AGGGGGGGGGGGGGGGGGACAACCGATTGTGCCAAAATCATGACATTTGATGATCAATTACAAGAATCCACCACGAGAGGGCAACATTAAGCTGCAGAGCCAGTTTGTTTTCTACAAATCTTGGAAGCCAACCTTTAGAGGGATTTACCGCCATACAATCCTCTTACATCTAATACACTGTAAGAGTCTGTTGAAACAGCTACTGCATTACACGTTTTCACAGTATTTTGAGGAGCATGACCGTTAGAAACTTTGAGAGTTATAATAAAAATAAGGTAAATCTTTGTGATGATTTTTACACGACAAAGGGTTAAACTCACCCTCACAGATGGGGTCCATCCCATTCCAACCTTTTTCCGTGCACATCCGGACTCCTTCTCCTCTCAAAATATATCTGCATGAGAAAACAATATTAATGAGCAAAAAAGACATTAACATCATGAAAGGGAAACATTAGTGGCCTGCTTTAGTAAACCATTAAGTAGAGGGAGATCTAGAGCAATCTATGGATGCTGAACAAAGTCAAAAAGTAAAGCAACTCTCTACACTTATTCTACCTTTTCTGTTTATTATCAATATGTTCACCAATTTATGGACTGCAGACTTAAAAAAAAGAAAAAAAAGATTCAAATACCCTTCATTACACACAGCAATGGCTTTATCGCCAAATGATCGCCCTTCTTGATTGTATCGCCCGTTCTCTATGTCACCCAGCGCATTGCACTTCTTCTCTGAGAGAATAAATGAGAAAATATGAAAACGTGGGGTACAATGAATGAATAAAAGAGATATTTTAGAGACAGATAAACAGATACATCTTACTTTGGCATTTCATGTTCAAGGTTGTCCATTGTCCATGCACACACTGTGATGTTCGACTTCCTGCTGATGGTTCGTAACCCAGGGCACATGTATACAACACTTTTTCTCCATCATTGAACTCTACTTTCTGGAGATATTTTTTGAGCAGATGCTTGTCAGGATATTTTGTTGGTTCGCCACATCGAATGGGACTACGTCTTTGAGACACTGAAATGGACAGTTTCAAAGCACAGCTCAACAACAAAAATAATGGTGAGCAAGAATGCAGTTATATCATTTTCCTCAACAGTTTTGTTCATTATTATGCATGTTGGCAGTCATACTAAAAATAGCATATGCTTGCTATTAAATCACTTCAGTTACCAATGTGATGCTACTGATAAGTCTGTGAAAAGGAGAATAATGTGCAGTATGTATGACCTGTAACTTCAAGATATTATGCAATGTATGACTCCAGGTGGTGGGAAATCTATTTTAAAAGTGTGGTTAAAGAAAAAAAATTCTATGGGTATCAACTCCAACTACTAGACTTATAGCTATGAACTTAATGACCCAGCTTGGGTCAAACTAGACATTAGGCTGGTTAAAGCTATTTAAACACATAACCAGTAAAATGAATAGTCTTAAATTCAAACATTATATGTGTAAATAAAATATTTTAATTTATAGTGACTGGAATAGCGGCACTGCGTGTCAAATGAAGACGCGACGCGCCACATCGAGCGTTTGTTGTTTATACGATCCGGTTCTGTCGCGTAGACATTTAATGCTAAATTTAAAAGTTACTCACCGACAAAGTGCGCAAACACAAGTATGAGTATATTCCTCCAAACAAGCGCCATATTCACGGACAACTGCAGAGGAACTGAAGGAGACTGTCACCAAAACAAACGGTGCTTAGTTATAACAGAAGCCCGCTGTCGTCATGAGCTCCGCCTGCCTTCATTTCAGTACAAACACACACACACACACACACACACTCTCTCTCTCTCTCTCTCTCTCTCTCTCACACACACACACACACCCTCTCTCTCTCACACACACACACACCCTCTCTCTCTCACACACACACACACCCTCTCTCTCTCACACACACACACACCCTCTCTCTCTCACACACACACACACCCTCTCTCTCTCACACACACACACACCCTCTCTCTCTCACACACACACACACCCTCTCTCTCTCACACACACACACACCCTCTCTCTCTCACACACACACACACCCTCTCTCTCTCACACACACACACACCCTCTCTCTCTCACACACACACACACCCTCTCTCTCTCACACACACACACACCCTCTCTCTCTCACACACACACACACCCTCTCTCTCTCACACACACACACACCCTCTCTCTCTCACACACACACACACCCTCTCTCTCTCACACACACACACACCCTCTCTCTCTCACACACACACACACCCTCTCTCTCTCACACACACACACACCCTCTCTCTCTCACACACACACACACCCTCTCTCTCTCACACACACACACACCCTCTCTCTCTCACACACACACACACCCTCTCTCTCTCACACACACACACACCCTCTCTCTCTCACACACACACACACCCTCTCTCTCTCACACACACACACACCCTCTCTCTCTCACACACACACACACCCTCTCTCTCTCACACACACACACACCCTCTCTCTCTCACACACACACACACCCTCTCTCTCTCACACACACACACACCCTCTCTCTCTCACACACACACACACCCTCTCTCTCTCACACACACACACACCCTCTCTCTCTCACACACACACACACCCTCTCTCTCTCACACACACACACACCCTCTCTCTCTCACACACACACACACCCTCTCTCTCTCACACACACACACACCCTCTCTCTCTCACACACACACACACCCTCTCTCTCTCACACACACACACACCCTCTCTCTCTCACACACACACACACCCTCTCTCTCTCACACACACACACACCCTCTCTCTCTCACACACACACACACCCTCTCTCTCTCACACACACACACACCCTCTCTCTCTCACACACACACACACCCTCTCTCTCTCACACACACACACACCCTCTCTCTCTCACACACACACACACCCTCTCTCTCTCACACACACACACACCCTCTCTCTCTCACACACACACACACCCTCTCTCTCTCACACACACACACACCCTCTCTCTCTCACACACACACACACCCTCTCTCTCTCACACACACACACACCCTCTCTCTCTCACACACACACACACCCTCTCTCTCTCACACACACACACACCCTCTCTCTCTCACACACACACACACCCTCTCTCTCTCACACACACACACACCCTCTCTCTCTCACACACACACACACCCTCTCTCTCTCACACACACACACACCCTCTCTCTCTCACACACACACACACCCTCTCTCTCTCACACACACACACACCCTCTCTCTCTCACACACACACACACCCTCTCTCTCTCACACACACACACACCCTCTCTCTCTCACACACACACACACCCTCTCTCTCTCACACACACACACACCCTCTCTCTCTCACACACACACACACCCTCTCTCTCTCACACACACACACACCCTCTCTCTCTCACACACACACACACCCTCTCTCTCTCACACACACACACACCCTCTCTCTCTCACACACACACACACCCTCTCTCTCTCACACACACACACACCCTCTCTCTCTCACACACACACACACCCTCTCTCTCTCACACACACACACACCCTCTCTCTCTCACACACACACACACCCTCTCTCTCTCACACACACACACACCCTCTCTCTCTCACACACACACACACCCTCTCTCTCTCACACACACACACACCCTCTCTCTCTCACACACACACACACCCTCTCTCTCTCACACACACACACACCCTCTCTCTCTCACACACACACACACCCTCTCTCTCTCACACACACACACACCCTCTCTCTCTCACACACACACACACCCTCTCTCTCTCACACACACACACACCCTCTCTCTCTCACACACACACACACCCTCTCTCTCTCACACACACACACACCCTCTCTCTCTCACACACACACACACCCTCTCTCTCTCACACACACACACACCCTCTCTCTCTCACACACACACACACCCTCTCTCTCTCACACACACACACACCCTCTCTCTCTCACACACACACACACCCTCTCTCTCTCACACACACACACACCCTCTCTCTCTCACACACACACACACCCTCTCTCTCTCACACACACACACACCCTCTCTCTCTCACACACACACACACCCTCTCTCTCTCACACACACACACACCCTCTCTCTCTCACACACACACACACCCTCTCTCTCTCACACACACACACACCCTCTCTCTCTCACACACACACACACCCTCTCTCTCTCACACACACACACACCCTCTCTCTCTCACACACACACACACCCTCTCTCTCTCACACACACACACACCCTCTCTCTCTCACACACACACACACCCTCTCTCTCTCACACACACACACACCCTCTCTCTCTCACACACACACACACCCTCTCTCTCTCACACACACACACACCCTCTCTCTCTCACACACACACACACCCTCTCTCTCTCACACACACACACACCCTCTCTCTCTCACACACACACACACCCTCTCTCTCTCACACACACACACACCCTCTCTCTCTCACACACACACACACCCTCTCTCTCTCACACACACACACACCCTCTCTCTCTCACACACACACACACCCTCTCTCTCTCACACACACACACACCCTCTCTCTCTCACACACACACACACCCTCTCTCTCTCACACACACACACACCCTCTCTCTCTCACACACACACACACCCTCTCTCTCTCACACACACACACACCCTCTCTCTCTCACACACACACACACCCTCTCTCTCTCACACACACACACACCCTCTCTCTCTCACACACACACACACCCTCTCTCTCTCACACACACACACACCCTCTCTCTCTCACACACACACACACCCTCTCTCTCTCACACACACACACACCCTCTCTCTCTCACACACACACACACCCTCTCTCTCTCACACACACACACACCCTCTCTCTCTCACACACACACACACCCTCTCTCTCTCACACACACACACACCCTCTCTCTCTCACACACACACACACCCTCTCTCTCTCACACACACACACACCCTCTCTCTCTCACACACACACACACCCTCTCTCTCTCACACACACACACACCCTCTCTCTCTCACACACACACACACCCTCTCTCTCTCACACACACACACACCCTCTCTCTCACACACACACACCCACACACACACACACACACCACACACAAACACGACACACACACACACACACACACCACACACACACACCCTCTCCCTCACACACACTCACACACACACAGGTTTGTTTTTGTGAAAAGTAGGGGCATCCCATAGGCGTAATGGTTTTTATACTGTACAGACCGTATATTCTATTGCCCTACACCAACCCTACCCCTAAACCTACCCCTCACAGGAGACTTTCTGCTATTTCAGATTTTCAATACACTCCATTCTGTGTGATTTATAAGCGTTTTGAAAAGTGGGGACATGGAGTAATGTCCTGAAAAGTCACCTTCTCCTTGTAATACCTATGTTATACCTTTGTCATTATACAAATTTATGTCCTCATTTGTCACAAAAACGCGCGCACACACACACACACACACAGGTTTGTTTTTATGGTTTATGGGGACTCTCCATAGGCATAATGGTTTTTATACTGTACAAACTGTATATTCTATTGCCCTACACCAACCCTACCCCTAAACCTACCCCTCACAGGAAACTTTCTGCATTTTTCCTTTCTAAAAAAAAAACTCATTCTGTATGATTTATAAGCTTTTGTACCCATGGGGACCTCAATTTAGGTCCCCGCCATGACACGAGTCCCCATGAGTCTGTGTGTATTCAGGTTTAAGTCCCCGCCAGGATATATAAACCAGTACACACACACACACACACACACACACAATATACAATGAATTAGTTTAGGATGCATTATACCTTATATAGGGGTTTCAAAGAAAATGTAACCATAGAAAACAGAAATGTTTTATTTTATTTCTTTTAAATACTTAGTTTTTTCTTTGATGGCAATCGCTACTGTAGTTCAGAACTGGTAAAGGTTTTGCAACATATCATTAAAGCAAGCTCATACATGCTTCTTTAATGTCTTTAGGATTGTCCACCTATAGTGAGTTATCGCTCCTTCATACTCCAAGTCATACATTGTATCTTCATAGACGAGATGTTAAAATAATACTAGGAGAAAATGAGAGCAACTCGATCAGAACTGTCAATATACGGTTTTAAAACAATAAAGGGAAGTTTTATTTTACTTGCAACAGCCTAAACATTTATGTTATCGTTGAGACATTTTGGGTTCACAGATGAGATCTTGATACAGAAGATTTTTCTTGGCGTCATTCTTGATCGAGCAGTCCTAACAGAAGCACAAAATATTTCCAGTCTACACAAAACTTTTGATATGACTATTATTATAACAATAATCTCTGCAATAGAGATAAGGCAAGCAGGCATTTGAGGTCAGGCCAGTAAGACGGGTCAAAACACTCACAACCCCACCTTAAGAAAGACATAAACGTTGCTCCATCCGTTGCGGGTGGAGTGCCATTTAAAAACATGATGTCACAGTTTCTGTCATTCATCCCTGACAGATCCTTTCCATCTTCAGGTTTTGATGAACTTACTGTGGAGACAAAATGTGCCACAAGTTTGATGTGTTTGCAAGCTTGTCTTGCCTAGAACATGATTGGATCAAAATTGCAGGAAACAACAAACTGGAATCATTTTCTCAAGAATTCAACATCCTCAAATCAGAGTACAGCCGGAAACTAAATGACAATATTTATTTTCCAC